CACTACAACAGGTCTCCCTTTCGGTTCACCTGGACAACTGCAATATCTTCCAACAGGTCTCCTTTATATGCCAGATTACCCTCCTGAGTGCCACCAGGATTAACATCCCTTAAGGTTTTTGTTTGGTTGGTTGGTTGGTTGTTTTTTAATTTCCCTTTTAAATCTTCCATCGCTCTCCTCTACCTCCGGGACAGACCAAATTTCTTAGGGAAGAATACGAGACCCATCACGATTTGGCCATAACCCATCTTTATGGCTTTATCACCTTCTATTCTCTTTTTCATACTCGAACCTCGTTCATACTAAATTTTTCCATCATTGCCCAAACAAAAAGACAGGAATACACATTTCTTAAATTCGCGTTTCCAGTTCCTTTTTCCAGCTAGTGATTAGGCTCCTTTAAGCCCAAATCAAGTAAAACTAATATGACTCCACCTCCCGTTTCCACCAGAGAGTCAGTCGCTCTCTGAGCACCGCGAAATGGTGCCTGATTCATCTGTGTTCCTGCACCGAGCACAGGGGTCCACACAGAGCAGGAGGAGCTCAGGGAACATCTGCTGAACTGAAACCGGATCCCAGGTTCAGCACACAGGTATTCTCGAGGCAACCCTGCGAAGGGCCAAGGCCCTGTCGACCAACTGGTTGCAGCACCAGATTAGCCACTCCGGGGCCGAGCCCAGCTGTCCTCCTCCTCCTCCTCCTCTTCCTCAGGCACCCCCCACCTGAGGAAACTCCCTGGCACTCACTCACCAACTCAAAAAACTATAGAGTCGAGGATTCCGCGGCAGCGTCTGCCCAGGCCGGAAGATGGACTTAGCCAGGAAGAAAACACATCCGGTGCCAACCAGCTTTATTCTTCACTGGGGCCCTCTGGGCGCCCCGGAAGGACATTCTGACACGGTCTCCCTTCCTCACTTCCCCCCTCTTGGAATGACAGAAAGACACCTGAATGCCGGCAAGCCCCATCTCTCATGTCCCAGTTTCGGCACTCGAGCCGTTCCCCGCCCCCTCCCCCTTTTTTTTTTAAGACGGAGTTTTGCTCTTGTTGCCCAGGCTCGAGTGCAATGGCGCAATTTCCGCTCACTGCAATCTTCGCCTCCCGGGTTCAAGCGACTTTCGCACCGCAGCCTCCCAAGTAGCTGGTATTAGGCGCCCGCCACCACGCCCGGCTCATTTTTGTATTTTTAGTAGAGACGCGGTTTCACCATGTTGGCTAGGCTGGTCTGGAACTCCTGACCTCAGGTGATCCGCCCCCCTCGGCCTCCCTAAGTGCTCTGATTACAGGCTTCAGCCACCGCGCCCAGCCCGAGCCGTTTCCTTTTGTGAGTCCTCCTGAACATCCGAATTGGAGACGGGGTTTGAGGTTCGGTTACGGCAGGTCTGTCAGAGTAACGAGACCTTCAGAGTAACCAGACCCTTTATGGATTATTCTGGGACGATTTCTCTCCTTATCGGGGCCACCTACAACTTGAAAGGTAGCAGAGCAGAAACTATCGTAAGGGTCTGTATTCAAGATTACTTAGGTAATGCCCCATCAGGAGCTGGCCCCAACTTCTGGATCTAGCTTCACACTTAAATCCGTTACTCCCTCTCAAAACTTTTGGCCCAGCTGTTTCCTCTGACGTGCCCTAGCCTTTTTCCCACGTATCTTTTTTTTTTTTTTTTTGAGACGGAGTCTCGCTCTGTCGCCCAGGCTGGAGTGCAGTGGCTCGATCTCAGCTCACTGCAAGCTCCGCCTCCCGGGTTCACGCCATTCTCCTGCCTCAGCCTCCCGAGTAGCTGAAACTACAGGCGCCTGCCTCCATGCCCGGGTAATTTTTTGTATTTTTAATAGAGACGGGGTTTCACCGTGTTAGCCAGGCTGGTCTGGATCTCCTGACCTCGCGATCCGCCCGCCTCGGCCTCCCAAAGTGCTGGGGTTATAGGCATGAGCCACCGCGCCCGGGCGCCTCTGAACCAATTCAGAAAGGCAGTTGCTCTGCTCTTCCAGCAACAGATTCTCGTGGAAGTAACTGAATCCAGTAACAACTTTCTGATTAATTCCTATTTTCTTCTGAAGGCAATCTCAGCATGCTTAATATGTATTTTTAAGACTATACATAAAGAAGACATTCCTATATTCAAAGTAAAGCAATTAAAAAAGAATAGAAGGAGGGGAGAGTGAGAAAATAAACCACTGACACCAGAGCTTTAATCATCACACTTTTATTAAGGAAACTTCCCCATAATAAGTGAAGAGGTAGTTCATAGTATGTCTAACATACAACAGATTTAGAACAGCTATTCATGAGCTGAAATAAAATCTTCTGGGTTGTGTAGGACAGTATTTTAGAAGCAGTGACAATAGTCACCTTCCATTTATAGATCTGCTAATAAAGAAACTTAAACAAATTAAAACCATATCTGATTTACCTCAGAGCCACTTCAGTTTGGAGTTTATCTTTAGTATTAAATAATAAATAAATAACTGACACAGTAATTTTTTTTAAAAACCAAACTATGGTAGAGAGTCATCTCCTTTTTAGTTCTCCTGGGGATCCATAAAATACAAATGCTGAATGATAAAGGTTTTAAAAATCTTCCTCCTCTACAGAAGTATGACTAGTTTTGAAAGTCATCTTCCTCTATAAAATGTACTGGATATCAGTAACTTGACTTCTTTGCAATATAATCTAACAAACATGTATAAGCAAAGAAGGAGGAAAGTCAAGTTCCACAAAAATTAGAAAAATGTCTCACAGAAACAGAACACCTCTCCAGCCAAAAATGGAGGAGACTGTAAATCACTTCAGTGGTTTGCATTTTCAAAAGGTGAGAACTAAACGTTTTACTGATACAAAAGCACAAAGTTGCTGATTTTAACTGATGGAATACAGTTAAAGCAAGGCAGCTTGCTTTATTATTTCTAGTATAAAAGCAAATTGAGACTTTGTTTCACTAAGACCATATGAGACTATAAGCTCCATGAGGGCAGGGACTCTATCAATCTTACCTTCATTATCCTCAGTATCTAGCATAGTGTCTGGCAACAGTAGGTGCTTAACTAATGTTCCTTGAACAACTGAATGAACCCAGAAATAGTCTCCAACCAAAGAGACCAATCTTATTTGAACCCGTGCCTTTTAGTCTTCAAACCAGTAACAAAAACAGGACATGAATGTGAGCAAAGGAAGCACTCCAACTTGAAATTTTCCTGTGAAGAAATGATGTTGACAGAAAATACCAAAAAATGCTGTTTGGTTGACAGGGTAGAGTCTCACTATTGCATAGAATTGGTACTCTTTGGCTGGATCATGTAAAAATCACAATGCTAGGAAGCATCATTAGACCATATAATGAGTGATGTTAGGCATAAGGTACCTATTAGCTTTATCACTCAACTGTATTATCATTTTAAATATCTGAACAAAAGACAAAAATCATACTTCACATCTGACACACATGATGATAATTTACATGTGATAACAATGATACATGTAAACGTATCAAATATAACCGTTTAAGATCCCCTCTGACTATACAAGCCTAATTTTTCAAATCTGCATGCACTCTCATAGCTCAAAAACAAAAACAGAAAATCCTGATGGAAACTAATAAACAGTTTTCCACACAAAATCAATTTCGCATTTAGATCTTCTCACATTATTCTTGCTTTTTCCCTCCCTAAACAACACCTAGCAAATCACTCACTTGGATGGGAAGAATATAATACTCATCTAACTAAAAAATAATTAATATAAATCCCTCTGTGATATTTTGTTGGCAAAATTCAGGTTGTCTCAGCCAACAGGGAGACACAAAGGGGAAACACAAACTAGGAGCTTTTTGCTAATGCATTATTCTTCATGTACTAAATCTTTTAAAGCCAAGGGATAGTGAGAAGAAGGAAGAAGATGCTAGCTCACATTTAGTTATACCTTGGCCAATATTGGCCAGGCCACCTCTTCAGGCTCTGGATACCCCAACTTAAAATGAAAGAGGTGGAGTAAATGACCTTTTAAGATTCTCTAAGGACTCTACTAACACTATTACCTAAATCTAACTCATGGGTGAGAAACAAATAAGACTCAAAATTTTAGGTCTGAAGTACAACATGTGTTTTAGGAAAAAGAGTTGTTTTGTTTTTCCTTTTTGAAAATTAACTTTGTATTCGCAATCAATCAAAGGCAGCAAGGTGGGACAGTGTACCTTTAAGAGGAATATCTGTATACAGAAATTTGATTGCCCTTTCTGTGTCCAACCTAACTTTTATCATCCATTTTAGAAATTAAGGTACACGAGGAAATGAAAATTCAGAGACTTTTATGGTGCACAGGACAAAACTCTGATGGCCAAATTAATTCACCTTTCTGATGGCTCAACTCTGAAACAAAATTCAGAGACTCCCAAATAGACTCTTTTTGGAGAGCCCATTATACTTTAGCACATTTTTAGTGTGCCTGGAGCAGTCCTGATCTCAAAAGCATCAACAAATTACACATTAATTATAAGCAGATGGGCTGGGCACGGAGGCTCACGCCTGTAATCCCAGCACTTTGGGAGGCTGAGGCGGGCATATCACGAGGTCAGGAGATCAAGACCATCCTGGCTAACATGGTGAAACCCCGACTCTACTAAAAATACAAAAAATTAGCCAGGCGTGGCAGCATGCGCCTGTAATCCCAGCTACTCAGGAGACTGAGGCAGGAGAATGGCATGAACCCGGGAGGTGGAGCTTGCAGTGCATTCCAGCCTGGGTGACAGAGCGAGACTCTGTCTCAAAAAAAAAAACAAAACAAAACACACACATATATATATATATATATAAAAAAGCATATGGCCACTTATGGGACATGCTACCAGAGAGAAACCTCCCATGTAAGTGCTGTTGTATAAGTGTACTTCTATCCCTGTTGATTATGCTCCTCATGGTCATCCCTAACTATCTGCCTGCAGGTGTTCCTCAAGAGAGGGTACTCTAGTATATTTGAAAAATTCAATGAGATGAAATTGGGCTATGATACTGTTAAAAAGAGTACATAACAAACCAGCATACTTCTTTATAGCCAGCTCCAAGACAAGTACAAATGGTAGGCAGCAGATTCATTTATCAGACATGGAGGAATAATCAATAGGCAACCAGAAGTTCTACCACATTTTCAGGTCAATAGCAATATCGCCTTATATCTCAGCCTATTTTCTACCAAAGAAAGATTATTCACTTCTCTTAGCATAGCATCTATTAGTGGAGAGTAGGTGATGTTATTAACTTGTTGGTACCTTCGGAATGTGCCTAGTGAAAAGCCTAAAACAGTGTCAGTCTAAGACATAAGTCAATGTTAGGTAGACAAAAGGAATTATTCCTTGGGAAAGGAAAACAGACTTTACAAGATAAATAACTCAAAACAGAAAATGGGAGAGGGCAAAAGTAAGGCAAATCCACTCCAAGTGGTACGTTGCCTGGTCTATTAGTGCTTTGACTCACTCCCTACCACCTACACAGAGGCTTTGGAGAAGTCAAACTAGCAAAATCACTCCTAAAAAGACCGAGACTATTGCCACATTCTCAGTCAGCTCGAGTTGTGAGCATGAAGCCCCTACTCAATTCACACAAGTACTATCATTTCTTAAGTTCAGGACAGCTTGGGCCAGTTTACCTGCATCCAGGACCTGTGTTGCATCGGGTTGTGGCTGACACCCTTTAGAGTCTGTGACTGTTGTACATGCAAAAGAATCAAAATCCACTGTGAGGTCTTGTACATTTCTCTCATTGGCATTATCAAAGCTGTTTTTGCCATGCAGCTGTTTAAGGTGTTTCCTCAAAACTGGTTTATGTGCAAAAACCATATCACAATAGTTACACTTATGGGGCTTATCTCCACTGTGAAGGTTAAGATGATCCTGTAAGGAACACTTCTGAGAAAAGGTTTTCCCACAGATTTTACACTGGAAAGGTTTAATTCCGGCATGCACACGCATGTGTCGATGAAGGTTGCCTTTCTGAGTAAAAGTCTTGCCGCAGAGTAGACACATAAAGAGTTTGTGCATTTTTAAATGGTTGGCGTAGTTCTCCAGGTGACGAAACACCCTGGTACACTTTGGGCATTGGTGATGCCACTGTAGGCCTTTGTCTACACCTCGAATATTAGGGCCAAAGACATCTTTTGAGGCCATGATGATGTTATCACTGCCTGTATAAGAAAGGGCATAATTGTGGAGATGGTTTTGTTCTATTTCACTTACTCTGTTTTCCACAGTTGAATTTATCAGGGAGTGCTGGGGCTCTGATGAATGTAAAGCAGTGGGTTCAGAAGAAATAAACTGGTTCTGATCTTTTTTACTTCTAACCTCTGATACATCCCCAATAGATTCTACCTTAACAATCTGAATATCACTGTCCTCCATATCCATACTGTCTTCAGATGGATGAATACAAGGTGAGTCCTGCTTTGGGGAGCCTCTGGCATCTCCCTGCTGTTCTTTTGACTGGGGAGAAGCACTCTGTGGTTCACATCCCTCTTTACTATCCATTGGTTGTTTTGGCTTTATAAACTTCCACAGGGCCTGTGTGCACCGTTCTACAATGTGGCTCATCTGAAGAAAACTTGCAGCAGTCAAGTAATTTACCAGTTCCATCTCAGGGAATTCCAGCACACCACTATAACAGGATAAGAGCAATTGTCTCCCCACTTCGGAACTCTGTAATATGGAGATTTTCACCTCTCTGGAATCATTCAGTAAAAATTGGTCTCTTAAGAAGGGGGAACCTGCAGCAAACACAATTTTATGTCCCTGTACCTCAATATCATCTATGAGAACTGTAACATCACAAAATTTATTCTCTTCTCTTAATTTGTTCATTTTTTGTAACATCGAATCTCCATAATTTTCAAACTTGAAGTGAAGGAGATCTGATCTTTCAGACATTTTGGCAGACCTAAAGAACAGAAATGTAAAAAGGTTGAATTTAAGGAAATTCAAACAATTAAGAAAGCTGGATCTACCTTCCAAAAACAAATCTGTGTTGTCATATCTGTTTTGTATGTATCCAAATGAAATCTTCCTTGAAAGGAGAAGCCACTATAACAGGTTTCAAAGGCTGTTAAAAATTACTTCTTACCAACATCAAGTGCCAATTGCACCTAAAGAGTGGACTTGTATTTGTGTAAATAGCTTGGCATTCATTCAACTTTTAAAGATACTTAATACAAGAATAGTGCTTGGGCTAGTCCAAAAGTATCTTTTAACTTCTCAAATGAGAATTCTATCAGGTTTCTAAAGTAAACTAAAACATAACCCACACAAGTAAAGATGAAATAATTATCTTATTTTGTATAAAACGGTGAACCTGCTTCTTCTAAGACAAGAGAAATTGCCTTCTCACTTCAGAACTCTAATATGGAGATTTTCACCTCTCTGGAATAATTCAGTAAAATCTGGTCTCTGAAGAAGAGGGAACCTACAGCAAACACGGGTTCCTTTGCTCTTTTTCTTTGCTCTGTATTTTAAACAACTGCACTGACACTGCTTGCCCAATTCCTGGTCAAACCTTTTTCTGTTTAAATTGATAGGAACTTATCCATACAAGTATTTCTGCAATAAAATGAAAGTCACAGACCTAATGGGACAATGTTTAGGCAAAGACAAAGTTCTTTATCCTGTCCATTCGGGAAAAATCTAAAGTCTGTTTTAAGGAACATTTCTTGATATAGAAAATAAAACACTTGATGCAGAAAAACCAGATGAGCTATATGGTGGGAATCTGAGTAGCAGTAACATAGATCAAATCAATCCCTATTAGATTCTGTTCTTTAAACTTTATCCCTATTTATCAATCATTACTCATTATGTGGACTACTAGAACTGATTCATAAATGTTGCCTTGGCTTCCTTCTTATGTTCCCTCTAATACAGTTTTCACACCACCACATCTTTCAAAAACAGAGATCTGATTATACCCCACCCCTGCCTAAACTCCTTCAGTGACTTCCCATTATCTCCTGGATGAAGACTAACCTCTTGAATACAAACTGATTAACCAAACCCAATCATAATTAAGGTAAACACTGGAAAAACCCATTCAACAATGGAGAAGGTATCTTTCCCCAAACTGTCTGCATACTGATTCCTTTATATAGCAATTCCTTTGGAGAAAGTCTCCATATTCTGATTCCATACTCTCATAAATGATTTTCTCATAACCTGGCTTCCCATTTGTCTCTCTCAAGGGAAAAGATAAATTTGCCATGCCAACACGCTAATTCCAGTCCACCAGTCACTATAAACTAATGACATAATGAAGTGACATTCTCTTTATATACACACACACACACACACACACACACACACACCAGTCTTCTATGAGATTGGTAGATATGTTAGGTCTGTCTTTGAGATATAGCTCTATAATCTCAGTGCATCAAGAAATTCACTGAATTTTACGTATTAATCAACCACCTTAGTTCAGAGTTAGATGAGACAACCAGCTTCTCCTGGCCACATCTGGACCCCAAAGTTCAATCTTTATAATCTTAACTTCTGTAACAATGAATATCAGCTCCTGATGGCAGAGTCTAGGTTTTATTCTTATTCCTTAGTGCCTGATACATAACATCACTCTCTTGGCTCCAGACCTAATGATACTTGTTTCCTTAGTTTAAAACACTACTTTCTAGGCCAGGCATGGTGGCTCATGCCTGTAATCCCAGCACTTCTGGTGGCCAAGGCAGGTGGATCACCTGAGGTCAGGAGTTCGAGACCAGCCTGACCAACCTGGAGAAACGCCGTCTCTACTAAAAATACAAAATTAGCTGGGCGTAGTGGCACATGCCTGTAATCCCAGCTATTCGGGAATTTGAGGCAGGAGAATCACTTGAACCCGGGAGGCAGAGGTTGCAGTGACCTAAATTGTACCATTGCACTCCAGCCTGGGCAACAAGAGCAAAACTCCATTTAAAAACAAAACAAAAAAAACAAGCTGGGCTTGGTGGCTTATGCCTGTTATCCCAGTACTTTGGGAGGCTGAGGTGGGTGGATCATGAGGCCAGGAGTTCGAGACTAGCCTGGCCAACACACTGAAACCCTGTCTGCATGAAAAATACAAAAATTACCCAGGTGTGGTGGCACGTGTCTGTAGTTCCAGCTTCTCAGGAGGCTAAGGCTGGAGAATCACTTGAACCTGGGAGGCAGAGGTTGCAGTGAGCCGAGATTGCGCCATTGCACTCCAGCCTGGGAGACAGAGTGAGGCTCTGTCTAAACAAAACAAAACAAAACAAAACAAACAAAAACACCACTTTCTAAACAATTCTGACTCCTTTATTTTCTCTGAGAGGCCCTTCCCCGACCGTTTAATACAGTACAATTGTCTCTACTGGGCCCATTGCACACTTCTATTGTAACAGTCAACACACTTTATCAAATACTTATTCCTTCTCATCCAAACTCCAAGTTTCATGGTATTAAGGGAAAGCATCTCCATCTAATGCTGGGAACTTGCATCTTCTAAGACAAAATATTCTTTCCTTTTGCTTTGAATTATATTATACTTATTGCAGCTACATTGCTTGTCCCATTACTGGCCAAACCCTCTTCTGTTCAAATCAGCGTCTATTCCTATCACCTAATATTGCACTAAACACACAGCAAGTGCTCAGTTTGCATTAGTTGAATCTCTCAGATTAGTTTGACAGTGGTAAGGAAGAACTGTTGTTAGGAAAACCAGCTTAGTGTCTGCAGAAGCATTACAGGTCTGAGGCCATGATGGCCTAGAAAGAAAGAAAAATGGGAAGAAGAAGAAAGGAAAAATAACAAAAGATATTTCAAAGCACTTGGTAACTGACCGGATATAGAGAATGAATAAAAGGAATGTGTAAAGATTCTAAACTTAGGAGTTCATTTGAATGAGAATGGCATTGAAAGTGAGGTGACAGTGACTCACGCCTGTAACCCCAGCACTTTGGGAGGCCAAGGTGGGCAGATCACGACGTCAGGAGATCGAAACCATCCTGGCTAACACGGTGAAACCCCATCTCTATTAAAAATACAAAAAATTACCCAGGCATGGTGGCAGGCGCCTGTAGTTTCAGCTACTCGGGAGGCTGAGGCAGGATAATTGTTTGAACCTGGGAGGTGGTGGTTGCAGTGAGCCAAGATTGTGCCACTGCACTCCAGCCTAGGTGACAGAGCAAGACTCCGTCTCAAAAAAAAAGAAAAAAAAAAAAGAGGTGAAATTTAGGAGGGGAACTGGTGTGGCACCAGTATAATAATAAGTATATTAATAAAAATATAAACAAAGCATAAGCTTTCCCCTTGTATGACATTTTGAATGTACCGATAATAATCACAATAAATACAAAAACTGCATTGAGAGAGGAGCGATGTAGACAAGCAAATGAAACATCAGAGAAAAGAAACTCAGTATTAACTATGAAGGGAAAATCTAGAAGATATACAAGGAAAATGTCAGTAACTTAAAGCAGCAAAAGTATTATCATTGGTCCCTTTTAGCAACTGCAGTAGCTTAAAATATTCATTTCGGATTTGGAGTGGTGAATGTTCCAATTTGTAACCAGAGTTGTAAAAATGACTGTTTCAAGCAGCCAAACAAAAGTAGCATTCTATTTTAGCATTTAGCTGGTTTTGAAGGTGCCTATGAAACCCTCAGATCAGTATTTTCCTCCTCACACCCCAAAATAAGCATTCATTGCTTCTACCTATATTATGACAGTATTCACAATGCTTTAGACAGGTATCCTCAGAGACAATTGTTCCTTGCTCTAAAGATGAGCAGCTGTCATGTGTCATATGACAGTGTTTTGTTCAACAATGAACTGCATATACAATGATGGTCCCATAGACTGTAATACCATATTTTTACTGTACCTTTTCTATATTTAGATACACAAACACTTACTATTGTGTTACAGTTGCCTACAGTATTCAGTATAGTAACATGTGGTACAGGTTTATAACCAAGGGGCAACAGGCTGTATCATACAACCTAGGTGTGTAGTAGGCTATACCATCTAGGTTTGCATTAAGTATACTCCATGATGTTCACAAAATGATGAAATCACCTAACGACGCATTTCTCAAAACACATCACATTAAGTGATGCATGACTATGCTTACTATCCATCAGTTCTCAAGAAAATTATCAAGAAGAGCAGCCAACTGGATAGTTCAGGGAAGTGTTTGCTTTGATCTGTCTGCTGTAGTCTAAGAATGTGAGCAAAATTTATTGTTTTTTTAAAGGACATTTTCCCTAGGATGTGTCAGCCCACTCTATTGTCTCTCTTTGATAAATTATTTCCAGGCCTCACATCTTATCCCTTAATTGTTTCCTTTCACTACTTTCTCTTTCCAATAGACTGTTAGTTATTTGAGGGTAAGGACCAATGGTTTGTTATACTTTATACAGCTCATTTAACAAAAAACAGAATAACAATGAGTTCTTAATGTTCCCCCATGAAATTATTACTAGTCTATGATACAGATGCTCTTCATTACCATGATATCTTCTTTTGAGTGACTAGGGAGAGCTTTCTTTCTAGGGTTTGTTTCCAAAATAGTTTTGGCAATATAAAACCAAATTTTATCTTTTTTTTTTTTTTTTTTGAGACAAGGTCTCACTCTGTCATCTGTCACCTAGGCTAGAGTGCAGTGGCGTAATCATAGCTCACTGCTGTCTTGGCACCAAGGCTCAAACAATCGTCCTGCCTCAGCCTCCTGAGTAGCCAGGACTACAGGTGCACACCACCACACCTGGCTAATGTTTTTATTTTTTGTAGAGACATGGTCTTGCTGTGTTGCCTAGGCTGGAGTGTAGTGGCATAATCAAATCTCACTGTAACCTAAAACTCCTGGGTTCAAGCAGTCTTCCCACAAGGCCTCCCAAAGTGCTAGGATTACAGGCATGAGCCTGTTTTAAATACTTAA